CCTTCCTTTTTTAATTATTTTTTTATTTTTTTATTTTTGAACTCAGCTGTATTTATTACCTCTTAAAGCAGAATGTCACCTGGGCACTCACTTCCACTCACAGGCCTTGTTCCGAATGATTTCTGAAGTAGCTCTGCGGTATCCCTAGGAGTTAGCTCTCCCTTCAAACAGTACTTTCCCTTGGAAAGCAAGCCCGGGCAGCTCCTGCCTTCAAGCTTTCGGTATAACGTACTTCTAGAAGCCTAGGACATGCGGATCTGAAACTACTGGGGAAAGTTTAAAAAAAGATCCTAGAAGAAAACTCAAGCTGTCTTAACCAATATTCCTTTCAACGTCAGGGAATCTCAACACTTCAGAGACACAAGATCTGGCCCGCTAAGGAATCTGGCTCGGTAACGAAGCACTTCAGACCTCAGTCAGGGTCCTTCCTGAGGATGACCCGACACCGACAGCTCAGACTTCAGTCCTCAGATCCCCCTCGCACGTACCGGTCAAGAAGCCAGCCCTGCTCCTTCAGACCCAGGGCCCAGGGTCCAGGGCCTCCTCCCTGAGATCCCTGGGCTCGGGGCGCAGCTCTGCTCTCTCAGGTCCCAGCTGCGGAGCCCTCTTTCCTCAGGCCCAGGTGTTTGCACCTCTTCCTCAGCCCTGGTTTAGGATCCCCATCTTCTGCACCCAGGGGCTTGGGAATCCAGATTCCTGACTCATCCTTAAAGGTGCGAGTGGGGCCCTCCCAAGGTGTTCCTACCCCGAGACTAAGGAGTGCTCCAGCTTTTCTTTTGTTTATTCAGATACCTGAACCACTGGCCCTCCCTAAGTGTGACCACCCAGTCCCAGGCTCGGGCCCCAGGTGCCTGCGGCTCAGTGAGCTCAGTACTTGGAACCCTTCCTCCACCTGTTCTTATACCAGGACCTGGCCAAAGATGGACGGCTCTTAACTCCCCAACTTCTCCCACCTTTTGGCCCCCGGGGGCCGGGCCACCTCTCAGGGGCCACCAGGCTTCCTCCCAGGTGACGCCTTCTTGCCTGACAGCACAGCCTTTGTTCTGTCTCCAGGGGCTGTGTACAAAGACAGCCCCAGCTAAGGAGGAGCCAGGGGCAGGGCAGCACCTGGCCACCAGGGGGCCCGAGGAGACTGCAGAACGGTTCTCATAACCTTTCAGGGTCACTGGGCCTGAGGGCACCTGGGAACCAACCCAAGTCCTTGCCACCTCCTGAGCCTGCCAGCCTCAGTTCCAAAAGCTGCAGCATCGGGCCATTCCTCATCGCAGTGCCACTCAGTGTCCCAAGGCCAGCATGTCTCTATCACCCTCCGATACTCCCACAAACATGCCTGTCTGGCACTTTATGGGGAAAGACTTAGAAATTCTGACCTGTCTTAGGCCAAGGGCGACAAAAGAGTACCCTGGAAGGGCGCTAGGAAGCAAAATGTCTGGCAGCTCACCAGCCCCTTGGTTCCCTTTAGGACGCAGAAAGCCTTGACCCTTTCCGTGTGTGAAGTACTAGCTTGATGAGGTTAAAAGTAAGGGCCAGACACAGAAGAGCCCCCTGGCCCAGCCTGGTCCTGAAGCCCCTGTTCCTGCACTGCAGATCCTAAGAGGGAAGGAGTCTAGGAAGTCACAGCACACTCCCTCCCCTCCGCGGCCCGACATTCCCCGGAAGTGCGGACTCACAGAGCGGGCTATGCCCCAAAGTGAGTTACTCCCTGTGTCATGAAAGAGTGGACTGCAGGCAGCACCCTTTCCCTCAGTGACTGCAGCTTGTGAAACAGCAGCTTGGTCCATTCTGAGTGCAAATCCTGAGGCAGAATCACACAGTAAACTGCAGAAATAGAGAACCATTCAATGTTGAACACACCAAGCTTACAAAGAAAAAGAATGGATAGCACGATCATAAGACACAAATAAATTGCTCTAATAAAAAATATTCAACCTATTTACTTAGGAAAATTACATCAGGGAACATAAACTACCAGAGCTATCTGGGAAAGAAGCCAGGGCCGGGGGCTTACTGCAGACACCAAGTAAACAATGATGGAAATCAGGCGGATCCCGTAAGAGGAGGCGCACGCGGCACTGGTGCAGTGGGAACATCTGCCAACCTGTGGTCATGCGTCACACAGCCAACAGGCAACAAAGTGTTGGAAGGGGCTAATGCTGGAAGTTGATCATACGTGGGAGGACAGGACAAGACCTCAGTGTCCAGTGCAGTCAGGCTACCCCAGTCTGCAGAAAAGCACCCTGTCTGGACAATGTTGGCTATTAGGCACTCAGCAACCTTGTATCTCAAAGTTAATGATACTAACTTGGGTGGGCCACATAGCTCAATGGATTAAAGCACCTGCTTATGTAGATGCAGGGGCCAGGAGTTCAATCCCCAGGCCTGCATGCTGGCCCCACCCCTGGGGCGCACTGAGATGGCGATTGAGACCCTGTAAACCCTGTAGATCCTGTCCTAAAATAAATTTTTAAAAACAATACTAATTTTGCAAAGATATAAACACCCCTACTGTTGTTCTTTTGCTCCTCAAGCAAGCAGGCCTCCACCTGAGCCCAGCTCTGGGCTCGTCTGTCTTTTCCTCATTCCTGCCACAGTTTCTCCCCAGTGTACACCGGGACACCAATACACCAAGCCCCAACAAAATTCCCGCTGTCTCCCTGCCTCAGAAGCATGACTTTCCTGCTTGATGAGGTCCACTCGAACAGCCGAATACCCAGACTTGGGGGTGAACAAACGCACGCTGTCGAGGAGCACAGCCGTCTGAAGAGCCTGTGTGGCCTGCAGATCTTGTGGCTGCTCCATCTTGCTTTCTGTCCTCTAGCCCCAAATCCTGCAGCAACTCTTGGCTTCTCTCTCCATCAGCGTTCATCTACAGCACATAATACTTCTGCGCCTCACCAGGTGCTGACGCACGTGCAAACACGGCGCTTCCATGGCGGCTCCCCCAGCTAGCTCCCCAACCCTCCGTCCCTTGGTCCCCTTCCCATCTGCATGCAATCCAGCTCCTGAGTTCCTCAAATCTTTTATTTGGCTTTTACTTATATCTTCAGGTTTTCATACAAGAGAAATCATGTGGTATTTAAGTTTGTGTGTCGGATTGGTTTCGCTTACTAGGGTCTCAAGGTGCATCCTTCCCATAAATTACTCAGCATCACCTTTGTTAAGCAGAGCGGCTTTCCACTGCGTATAAACACCACATGTTCTTCATTCATTCACCTGCTGATGCACTTCTGAACCGTTTCAGACATTTGTTCGTTATGAGCTTCACTGCTATCAGCATGGGCCTGCGGGGCCCATGGCAATGTGATGTTTCCAACTCTTCCAGGAGGACACCTACAAGAATAGCTGGCTCCAGTGGAATTTCTTGGCTCGGGTTTTTTGAGAACTGTCCGTACCAAGCTCCACAGTGGTTGCTAGGGTTTGCATTCCCGCCAGCGATGCTGGCCAGGGTCCTGCTGAAGATCCTTGCGTCTCGGCTCATTAGACACCAGCCTGTAGCTTCCCTGCATAGCTCAGTCTCTCTGTGGTTTTGGAATCAGGATGATGTTAAAGTCTACTCGTTCCCTTTCAATTTCATTAAAGAGAGTGAGGACTACGGGTGTTACGTAGGGAATCTACCATGTTCTAGGCTTTCTTAGTTGGTGGCATTTCTTTATTGCAGATCCAATTTCATTGCCTGCCATTGGATTATTTGGGATTTTTGTATCTTCTTGGCTCAGTTTTAATTCACATTTATCTAGGAAGCTATCCTTTCCTTCCAGAGTCTCCAGTTTACTAAGCATAGGTAAATTCCAACCTACCACTTCCAGTGCAAGCCACAGAGAGAGCAGACACAAACATATACCAGCAGCTGTGGGAGCCAAGGAGGTCCCAAGTCCGGCCAGAAAAATGAGGCCACGACCCAGAGCCAAACCCGAGTTTTACGAAGCTGTGCACGGGGGAGGGGCTCGGGGCTGAGTGACCGTGAGAACGGTGGGAAGTGGCGAGTACTGTGAGCTGGGGCGGGAGACACGACGGCGGCGGCAGCTCAGCAATCCGCAGAGAGGTCCGCTTGGAGCAGCAGATTCTGCCCCCAGGGAGCCTCCAAGGGTGGAGGAGTGCGCGCGACCGCCTTGGGAGGAAGCAGTACCGTGGGTCTTCAGTGCGCTGCTTCGGCTCGGGCGTGTGGCTTTTGAGCTCTGGGAGGTCACAGCCTCTGTCTCGAGGCTCGCCCCAGCCAACAGGTATCTCTCAACCTAGCTCCTGCTCCGCAGCAGGAAGCTGCAGGTGGAGCGCGGCTGACCTGCTGCCTCAGCGGCTACCCATGGGCACCTCGCCACCTTGGCTAGACCCATTTGCATTGCTTACAGCCACCTGAGGAGGGAGAGTGCTTTCCTAGCCAGCTCTGTACACCCCAGTACATGGAAGTAGGGCGAGCGCTAGCCAAAACGGAGACAAACTGTCCTGTCTCAGGGGCAGCTGCACCAGCGGTCCTCCACCCTTCCTATGCCCCATATAATCTTCATGTTGTTCCTTATTTACCCCCTTGGGTTTCTCACATAAGAGAAACAGCGTGATATTTAAACCCCTGTGTCTGATTTACCTCACTTAAAATTATGGCCTTGAGGTGCTTCCATTAACCTAAACATTACTCAAGTTTATCCTTCTTTACGGCAGAATAGTACTTCACTGTAAATAAATACCGCATCCTTTCACCTGGTGACGGGCACCTGGGCTGCCCTGGATGTCGGCGTGCACGACCACAAGCCTCCCCACAGGTGCTCCGGGGTTGGACTGGCACCCTCACTTTACTCTCGGAACAGATTTCTTCCACGATCCACCCAAGGGTGCACTGCTCAGCCTCCGTGTGTTTGTATAATTTCTCCTGTTTCTTTTGCCATTGATTTCTACGATAGGACAATATTCAAGGGATGATTTGATTCTTTTGTATTAAGCACGGTTTATTAGTTAGCACATGGTCTACTTCTAGGAAAGTTTCACGTGCTGCTGAGAACAACGCGTGTATCTGTGAATATCTTTTACATCCGCTTATTCAAATCTTGAACTCCGCTGTTGCTTCATGCTTTTCTTGTCCGGTTGATCTGTCTCGGGCCCAGAGCTACTCTTAAGCCCTCTGTGGCTGTATACAGTATGGTGTGAGCTGGAGTGCGGGACTTGAATATTTTGGCTATTAAGACTGGGGAAAACAATGATTACTGGCTCACTGGCTACCGAGTGAAAACTTGAGAATGCTGCCAGATGAGGCTGATGAAATTCATGCAACTTTTGAATTTACTACTTCTCCATAAATGCTGATGCTGTGGGAAGACACAGATGTGTCTAGTGCTTGTTACTGGACTAGCTCATTCACAAGAGCACGCCTCTGAACGGTGGCAAGCTGGAGTGTGGCCAAAGAGAGACGTGGGTAAGAAGTACCCTGCTCTCAGAGCTGGGCACAAGAAAGAAGGCCGGAGAGCAGAGAGACCTCTGAAGAGAGTTGCCCCAGCTTTGATCCAGTCAAAGGCAGGGTAGTTAGGAGAGGGAAAGGAAACTCTCTTCAGGCTCTGAGCCCAAGAGGGACCCTTGCTGGGAAAGGATACAGTGTGCTACACTGATTCACAGAATGTTGAGATGAAAGCTTTGTAGCTTAGCTGGCTAGGAAAGGGAGCACTGTGGAAATTTATTCCCCCCGGAACTTTTCTGGGGTGAGGCTGGGAGCCTGGGATGCCATTTTCTGCTCCCTGGGGCAGTGTCCTCCCAAAGCCAGTCCTATCCCCAAGCAAGCCAGTGCCAAGACATGAATGCAGAAGTAGACAGAAGACCAGTACCGGAATGTGTTATCCACGGACAACAGCACGAAGCTCATGAACATGTACTCATAGGCGCGCATCTTCAAGAACCAGTGCACGCAGCACCAGACCTTCCGGCCCCGGGGGCTTAGCCGCCCAGACAGGGCCGACTCCAAACAGCCCTCGGCAGCCAGACACAGTGGCATCGTGAAGAAGCTGAGGTAGTAGCCAGGGTGTAGGCCGTGCCAGTAGGCGCTCAGCAGCAAGGTCCAGACGCTCCTGGGGAAGATGGTGGGAATCAGAATTTTGGAGTCAAGAGCCTAGCCTGCGCTGTCCTCCAGACCCAGAGCACCACTCCCTGGCACTCCTCACACAAATCGAAGTCTCTCCTCTCATACCAAGAGTGCAGATCCATAAACTCAGACCTGGGCTCTCAGGCCCCTAGGGGTCCAGGCCCAGTCCTCCATTCTGAGACCCAGGAGTTCACACAGTGAAGTCTCTTCCCTCAGGAGTCCAGGTGCCAGCCCTCCTTCCTCAGACCCAGCAATCCACCCCTCTAAACTCTCATCCCTCAGAACCAGGAGTCCTTTTTCCTAAATCCTCAGGCTGAGGAGGCACTGAGTTCTGTCAACTTCAAGGATTCAGAAGCCACTAATCCCCTAAACAGATACCACAAGACTAAGCAGGGCTCTCTCCTCCTAGAAGGGCCCAGTGTCTTGTATCCCACAGCCCCATGTTGCTTGGACCAGAAGTTCCAATTCTTTAGGCCTGGGATTTTCAAAGTTCAGTCCCTGGTCTGGCATCGGTACCACCTGAGGACTCCTTGGAATATAATCTCCTGGGCGCCACCTCACTGGTATCAGACATCCCAGGCACAGAGCCCACAGGATGCCTCTGATGTGACAAATTCTTGGTGAATGCCTAGAACCATGGCTCTGCCCAAGACCCTGAAGCCCATACACTGGCCAGTTCTGTCTCTCTCCCCCGACAAAGCCCAGAGCTGCCTCCTCCTCTCAGTTCTGGAGAATCAGAAAGACAATTGCTTTCATGTCTGTCTTGGGCACCTAGGAGTCCTGAGCCACCCACCTCTATATAACCCAGGTCCTGCCTTCCTTTAAGGGGCCAGAGGCTGGGGATATAGCTCAGTAGCATAAGTGCTTGACTAGCAAGTACAAGGTCTCAAGCTTGATCCTTGGTACAAAAAAAAAAAAGCCAGAATGAAGGGGCTGAAGCTTACTGGTAGAGGACTTGCCTGACATAAGTAAGGCCCCCGGGGTTCAAGCCCTATCAATCTTTACCCAACATATCTCTCTCTCTCTCTCTCTCTCTCTCTCTCTCTCTCTCTCTCTCTCATCCCCCCCACACACACAGGACTTCAAAATCTCTACTTGTAATCTCTACTCCTGTCTTCTGGGAATCCAACTCTGCCTCAACCACTCCTCTTCTGCAGACCATGAACCTGGGATCCAAGCTGCTTTTGCTTCAGGAAATCATGAGTGCAATTCCTGACCAGCCATGTTCTCTCCTTCTCTGAAGATCCAGAGGTTGGTCTCCTCTATTATGGACCCAGAAATTGAATTCTCTGCCTCCTGAAACTCAAATTTAGGCTCTGAGCCCTCTGCCCAAGAGACACAGAAATCGGTCTCCGACTCATTCTCTAACTGTGTAAGAATCAGTGGCTTAGGGCTGGCCAAATAGCTCAGTGGATTAAAGCACCTGCAAACAGACGCAGGGGCCAGGGGTTCAATCCCCGAGCCTACCATGCTGGCTCCACCCCCCAGGGCATGCTGAGGCTGAGATGGCGATTGAGACTGGGTGTGGTGGTGCTCACCTCTAATCCCAGCTCTATGGGAAGCTGTAAACAGGTGGATCACTGTGAGTCCAATCTAGTAATGAGAACCTGAATACCCTGTATACCCTTCCTTAGAATACAAAAAAAAAAAAAAAATCAATGGCTTTCCTATAATTGTGTCCTTAGGTAGTTCCTCCCAGTTAGGACAAAAACCACATCGTGGGCCAGGGGTGTGGCTCCGTGCTGCAGGGTTTGGCTACTGAGTGGAAGGCCCTAGGTTAGAACTGGAGGAAAAAGTCTCCACACATTGCCGCACAACTGCCCTGGAATTCAACAAATCACCACCAGCTCAGGGCTACGGAATTAAACATTAGGGTGCTGGGGCCTTCACCTGACCCTCATGAAGCCTGATGACACGCAAGTGTCCACCAACTTTTACCGGAAGCATCAGAATCACATAGCCATCTGTCTACGCAAGGGCCCCAGAAGCAATCTAGTCGCCTCGGAGGCGAGGAGTCAGAGCCCAAGGCTGGCTCTTCACCCTCCCTCTCCCGGATCTCCCCTTTCTGGACCGCTTGTGTGCACCATGCCGACACCCCAAGCTGGGAGTCACGTTTCATGCCTCTTCTCAGCACCCACATGCAGTGCACTCCCACCCCGGCTCTGCTCCCAAATCTGGCTACTTCCGGGCCTCTGCACCCTACTGAGGACTCCCAGCTTTCGTCATCACCTCCTACTTAGATACCCCAAAAGCCTAGGGAGGTAAAAAAAGATTTATTCCCTGTTTCACCCACCTGTTCTCTCCTCCACTTCTATTGCACCATCCACAAAAGCCAGACATGTTCTTTTCTTTCCTTTCTTTTTTCTTTCCATTCTTTCCTCTTTCCTCCCTCCCTCCTTCCCTCTCTCCTTCTTTCCTTTTTCTTCTGTAATACTGGAGATCCAATCCAGGGCCTTATGCATTTAACATGGGGATATTTTAAGTTCCCACCTCTAGTGACTATAAAAGTTAACTATGCCTAGCATACTCTCTATCCAAGAAACACTGGAGGAGCCAGGCATAGTGGGGCACGTCTGTCAGACCAGCACTTGGGGCACTGAAACAGGAGGGTTGCTGAGAGCTCAAGGCTAGCCCAGGCTGCACAGTGAGTTCAGGGCCAGTCTGAACAACATAGTGAGTCTCTCTCTCTCTCTCTCTCTCTCTCTCAGCTTGGTGGCACATACCCATAATTCTACCTAATTGGAAGGTTGAGCAAGAGGATCAAAAATTCAAGGCCAGTCTGGATAACTTTTACATTGCTCCATAATAAAAAGGGCTAGGTATGTAGCCCCGTGGTAGCATGCCTCCAGGTTCAATCCCCAGGACTGACATTAAATAAAAACTGGAAGAGAGATGGAGGGCTGGGAAGCACTAGGTAAATAATGCACAAAATCAGAATTTAAAAAAAAAGCTAATTAAATAGTGAAGAATCATTGTTCAGGGATGTGCCTTCTGCACTTTACCTCTCTAAATCCTTGTTATCAGCCTGTGAATCAGATCATCCATGTGTCACAGGGGAGGAAAGCAAGAGGTCAACTAATTCTCAAACTGCGGAACCAAACTTCTGGACAGTTTGGCTACTCTGACCACAGGACCCACTACCCTCCAATTATGTTAAAAGAGGAAGACCTTAAATGGAAACTTTCATAAGCCCTAGGGGCAGGGCTCCTGCAGGGACACCATGGGCTTCAGGGACATGCGGTTCTGTGCCAACCGAGCACAGAGGGCTCCCTCACCTCACGACGTAGGAGCGAGTAGGCACGCTCTTGTAGATGTACTGCGCCAGCCACCACTGCACCGTCATGTTCCAGTACCGCATGCCCTCCCGTATACTTATGCAGAACTCGCCGTTGTAGCAGTCGAAGTTGCGGATGGTCTCATAGTCGTACTCCAGGGCAGCTGCCTTCTCCAGACTGGGGGTGGGGATGAGGGCGGGGACAGACATGCAACTCAGCCAGGCCCCTCCCACGTCTGCTCCTGTCCCAGCCCTGACACTAACTAAGGCGCCATTCTGGCCAGGTAATGGCTTTTAGGCTAGCAGAATTGCTCGGGCATAGGGAAGGCAGGCTGGGGAGCAAGGTGGGAGGGCGGGCACCGTTCACCAACAGTGGGCTTCTCTCCGTGGTAACTGATGGGCTGCCACGGCTGCAGAAGGCCTGGAGCGGTAGGGCGGCTAAGCTGTGAGTCCTCTAGCAACCAAGCTCAGCTATTCACAGAGCCTAGCAAGTGTGGTCCCTTCTGAGCCTTGGACAGTGTGGTTGCTAGGGAAGCATCCTTCCAGAGGAGGTGGTTGCTAAGGAGGTGTTCCAGGCCTGAGATCCAATGATCCCTTGCTGGGCACAAGAAGTTCCTTAGCAGAAAGGCTTAGGCTGTTTGGAAAAAGCTTCCAGGAAGGACTTTTCGTCCTGGTCCCTGTGATCATTCGACAAGTGTCACCTCCAGAAATACAGTGCCTTCCAGGCCACTGATCTCAACAATCTCAGCCACAGAGAACATCCACCTGAACACTCAGTGATTTCCAATTATAAATGGAAACCATCTTTGAGAAGTGGGGCCTAGTAGGTTCAGAAAGCCTTTGATACCTGCCCAACTTACCTGGGGGACACCATCTCTAACAGCTGGGGGTCTCCCCATGGCTAAGAGGGCAATGAGCACCACTATCCCACAATAGGATGACAGTTTGTGCCTACAAAGAATAACGTATCACACATCACAGTTGGTGGCCCTGCCTTTGCTCCCCACTGCCCTCTGGGACAGGGCCAGCCTAGCAGGGCCAGCCCCT